GCTGGGTCAGCAGCAACACTGGACCCAAAGTGTATATCTAATCTGTCCATGAACAATCAGTGTCTTCAAAATCTCCAATAAATTTCTAGATTTATGAACTCTTGAAGTTTTATTATGTATCTCAGAATATCTAATACTTTTTAAAAGACCCATTTCCTGAAGTCACGTGACTAGCTAAGAAGCATCATGTTGTTTTGTTAGATTGTTACTTTTTTAATTGTAATAATAAGTCTTAGATATCCTGATGAGGAAGAAAATGGGAAAAATAGTGAAGACTCAAAACTCAGAAGGAAAGTAAAAAAAAAAAGAAGTGATAAAGCCAAAATTTTGTAGTGTTTAAGAAAACGGACTTGAAAGTTTTGAAAATTTGGATTTTCTAATATTACATTTCTGTACTAGTTGCTGGTCTTTCTTGCTGCCCTTTCTTGCTGCCCTTATACTAGGTTCTTCTAAATCAATGTTTAACTGTCTTAATGAACACTTGCCTATAGCTGATAGGAGCTGTGAATGGCCATCTCAAAGGTGGCTGTCTGACACTTGCTTCGTCATACTTAAGTTTCTCGTTATGGTCCTTTCTTTATAAGGCCACACCTCTTGTCCCTCCCTATCAGTTTCTCACCTCTTCCCAGTATGTGATGCTGCTGTGCAGACTGCTTCTTGAGTGCACTCCAAGACAGTGCTTGAGTACTGTGTGTTTCTTTGCCTGATGCAAATATTTCTGCGTAGGTCTTAAACAGCTCAAGTCTCTGACTTGTGCCCTAGCACTCAGCTTTTACGTAGTTCTATATGGAAGAAGCAGAAAAAAATCTAGTACAATTGAGAAGTCTAATGATTAGCCAGATTGATGAGCAACTAGCTGATACTGTGAAAAGAGACTTATTATTACAATTAACATTTTGCTGACTCTACACCTTTCCTATGTCAAGCATTAGGCATAGGGTACATTTCTTTATTAATACAAGCATTATCAAACTATTAAGCATGGACTAAAGGTTTGCTTCAGATGAGGTATGATATCATAGTTCACGGTGCTCTTTCCAAAAGGTCATGAAATGCATCAATTATTGTGATGTGTATGAGATCTGCAGCAGAGGTTCTTCAGAGGGTTAATTGTTACTTTAGGCTACAGATACTGTTAACTAAAAAAACATTAAAAAAAAAAATAAGGAGATGGGAGATGCTTTCAGATGAGTAGTATTTTTCTGTGGCTATCCATCTATATAATGACCAAATGGTGAACAGAGTCTAGACAAAGCATAAATCCTGTATGAAGGGAATCCAACAGGAGTCCAAATCCTGCAAACAGTAGCAGAACAGGATCTGATACCAAGTATGCAAGAGAATGAAAGCACCAGCTAGATGAGCTGGGTCTTTCTGCTTTTCGGGATTGTTACACATGGGGAGGAATATGACTGCAGAACAACTGAGTTTTCTGCATATCTGGTTATGAGCAGAGAATGTTGAATGTAGTCAGGGTCAAGTGGCCTGAAGTAGTTTTTTATGTCTTCAGTCCCAGCAAGTATATACCATATAGAATCTCACCATTACCACTTGACATGACAACACGTGACATGCATGATAAGCATTAACAGCAAGGTATTCATAGGGCATGAAACTCCAGAAATCCCTCTGTGTTGGGAAGAAAATTGAGAACAGAGCTGTTAAAAAAATTGTAGAGTTGAAACACCTCTCCACTGGAAAATATTGTTTATTGAAGTGTTTTTTTTTTTTGTAAAACATGTTTTGACTTTAATGAAATATCTTAGTTCAACTTTTATAGAGTGAGGAGTTTCCAACTGCTGTTATTAAATGACTTCTTCTTTCAAAATACAATTTACGTTACAGAGTTTTTAAAAATAGAATAAATCAAAACAAAATATTTTAAGTTGTTGACGTAAAACATTTGGTTTACAGTAATTAAAAACACTTTTGAAAACAAAAGCTTTAGCTTTTCATCCTAATTTGGGACATATCTCCCTCATTCTTTCTTCTTTTCTTGAAATGTTATAAAGCTTTCATTGGAGAAAAAAATATCACTTATTGCCCTTTTTAGCTTGCTTAAGTGCCTATGAAGCCTAACGTTTCATTCCCACCTGTTCAGAACAGATCTTTTGACTCCTTTTTTAGATTGAAATTGACTCTCTGGCCCATCTTCTTTGTTATTCTTACCCTTATGATCTCACTCATGTTACAGGAGAAGAAAAGGAGTAGTTCTGCTACCATCATTAAGATCAATTTTAATGGATATTTTGGAAGTGAACAGAATTTTTTACAGAACTCTATGCCAAAATACCATCCCTACGAATGAGAGAGTCCAGTCTAAGAAGAATGCTTGAAGAGAGCAGGTGAACAACATGGACATATGAAGAGGAGCAGTGAGAAAATAATAGGAGTAGAATGCCTGTGTGTTGTAGTTGCACCAGCAACTCTGTGATTCTGCAAATAAAGTAGGCAGACCAGGAAAAAGGGGGAGCAAAGACAGAGACCTTTGCAAAGAGAGACAGAGGCTGTTGTCTCCAAATGAAGTAGGATTTAATAAGGAAGAGTGAGGTGTGTGCTGGATGTTCTTTAAGGTGAGGCTGCATAGCTTGTATGGAGAAATGGGACCAGAATCAGAATGATAAGAAAGGAATGATGCAGACAAAGTCATCCCTAGGTTTTCTGGGAAGCACCATTGCATTGATACCTTCTCCTCACTCCAGAGAAGTCTTCTGATGGGAGGCAGGGCAGAGGAAATACCTGCCTTGCTGAAGAATAAGGCGAGAATGGAAAAATCTGCACTCCAGAGGTTCTGTGACAAAGGGGCCTTATGGTGTCTGGGTTATTTCTAGAGTAGCAGAAATCCACAGGGCTAGAAATTACAACAGAGCTTCTTTAGTAATTGCTGGGGAAACATCCCACATACTCATTGTCCCCAGAGGACATACTGGATTCAAAGACTGACAATCCATACCAAACAGCATCTCTGAATAACTTGTTTTACATGAAGAATAGCCACCTGGCATCCCTGGAGGTACTGACAATAGGATAGTTCAGCAAAACAGGAAAGGGTAGATATGGGTGATAATTATGTAATTTTCTCTGAAAATCATCTACTTTAGATATGCCAGGTTCCGTGTCTTGAAATAGTAATAGGAAAGTGGGAGCTGAAATTCCTTGCTATGCCTCTGAAGGGCCGAAAGTGCAATTTTGGAAATTTTGACTTGGAAAATTTTGAGTTCACTGAGCTCACTAGTCTCCTTTTTACCTGTCGGTGTTGTATCACTTCCAGAGCTTTGTAAACCAGATTTCAGGGTTCAGTTGACCAACCACATACAGGCCATGCCTGGCAGAATTAGCACAGTGTTAGTTTTCACCTTCTTTATAATACAGAACAAATAGTTCATTTATTGAGCAAACAAGCTTTCTTTTGGCTGTTTCTTCTGCTGCCTGATGAAGTTCATCTGTGGTGAAATAAATATTAAACATAAATCCCCATAGAAGAAAACACATCTTTTCTTAATAATCCTGCACATTTAGTCAAATTATTTAAATGGTTCCAGATGCTTAATCTGTTGCTAATTTGTTCATTCTTATTTGGATTTTAGTGAAATCGCTTTATTTCTGAAGGAATGAGTCCATCTTATTATTCACATGAATACATAGTCTTAGTTTAGTTATAATTGTATAAGTTCAGTTAGGCATTTCTACAAACATGAGAAAAATGTCATTGATGCATTTGAAGCGATAGGTGATGCAATTATACCTCCATCTATTTGCAGTTGGTGAATTATGCTTCCATACAAGAACCAGAGATCAAGCTCCAAAAGTTAGAAAGAATACATTTCCAACCTGAACCATAGCCCACTAATGAAAATCACTGGCTTACATGTGTGTATATGTGTGTGTATCTAGTTTGTGGGGCTTGATGGGAAGGCTTCATGCTCATAAACCACTAGGTGAGCATCATCTCCTTCAGCATCTGACCTATGGTTCCTAAGGAATCATAGACTAGTGAAAAACTATGGGATGAAGGGAGAATTCAGCTTCCTCAGAAGAAGGTGGAGAAGGGGAAGATTACCTAACAAACACGATTCCTAAAGCAGGAGCTGATGGCTGAGACATCAGACATTTCCTTTATTCCCTCAGCTAATGCCAGATAACGAAGTTTTGTGAGCTTGCTCATTTGGATGGACTGTAGCTTGTTGGGCTGATATTACTAGATCTGAGCCTCTGGGTAGTCACAGTTGTGTTTAGGACATGGAGCTCTGAGGCCCCTGAGCAAGCATTTCATTAGAGTGGTGTCTGAGTGGCAAGACTTTGTACACTTAACACTTCTGGTTTTTGACCTGGTAACATCAGTGACAGGATGCTTTAGAACAATGATTCAGAATCTTGGCTTATTGGAAGGCACATTTACTTGCCTGTAGACCCTACAGGTCAGCTCTTGCTTTGTCTGTTGCTGTCATGAACACAAGTTATATGTCTGTTGACTTCCCAGTTGAAGGTCAAGGAACAGGCCACTGTTGGGTTTTCTACTTAAGTCATGTGAAGAGAGAAGATTTAGCTGGGAATGTGTGGGTTAGCAGCTCTGTTGGGTTGCACTGTTATGGACAAGTGAAACCAGCTTTGTGAGGTGTTGGCTCAGCTTGTCTCTCTAGATCCTTGGCTTTGTGCCAAGGTGCTGGCTGCTGTGAAGTCATTGGTCTGGTATATCCAAATTTCCTGGTTATAGTCTGGGTATAGATTTCTGTGAGATAATCATCATATAATAAATACCTTCTTTCATTTAATAAGGAGCATGTTTTCAGTGGCCAGTGCTTCCCTGAAATGGTGCTAAGATTGTTGTGTCTGTTCACATGAGTTAGCATGTGGATACATAATGAATCATTTATTTATGTGTGATAGTACCTCTACTCACATCCTATCAGTAACTGTTGGTAACAGCTTCAATTTTTAATTTCTCTTACTGGTAATTCGAAGAAATTGCATGAGATTTATCAGAATTTGGTATTTTTCAGAAGAACGAGAAAAAGAAACAGAAAAAGTTCTCAGTAGTTTAAATGAGTTTAAGACCAACAAAGGTCATAGGCAGCACAGGAAAAAAGCAAAACAAAACAAAACAAAACAAAAAACAGAAAACCCCACAGTAATTAAGCTTAGAAGAGAATCCATGAAGACATCTAGTTCTCTCACTGTGCTCCAAAGCAGGACCAGCTATACCCAGTGTCATGTTTGCCTGATGTTTCTTCAACCTGTTCTGAAAAATCTTCAGTAATGATAATGCCACGGCCTCCTTAGGGAAATTGTCCCAGACCTTACCTATGCCTGTTTGAAGGATTCAAGGATTTACTGTTCCAAGGATTTTCTTTATGTCCAGTCTAAGTCTTCCTGGTAGTAATTTAACCCCCTACTTACTTTTTACCCATATCAGCAATAGACATGAAGACTTTTCATCTATTTTGTTAGATTTATTTTAAAATACTTTTTTGCTTTATATTTGATATAGTCTAATTTCCTCTATTAACCAAGTTATAGAATTTCACTAAATAAATCCTGCAACAAATCTGTAACACTGATCAAACTAAACAAATAGAAAATTATAGAAAAGCATGTGGTCTTGATTTCAAAACTGCCAAGAATGGAGAATTCCTCAGTATTTCTAGATTCCGAAGATCTTTTTTCCTCCTTCCCTTGTCTCTGCAGGTGTAGTAGTGAACAATGCATGTTCTATCAAGGGTGAAAAACAAACATGCCCTTTGCCTTTTGAAAGAGGTCAGGCACGTAGAATGAAACACAAGTTCTCTCTGCCCCTGTACTGCCTTTCCTCCCGTTAACTCATGGTTGAATGGGAAGTTCTGAGACTGACTGCATTACATAAGGAGACAATTTATTGAGACTTTATTCTGATACTGTTTTGTCTCATTGGGGAACATGACTGGTTTGTGTGTGTGTATGTAACGATAATATGATAGCTCTGACATTTTAGCAGATGCCTGTCAGAGGTCTGGTTGCCCAAATCACAGCCCAGTTACCTGAAACTGTGTCCAAAGACAAATCAGCTATGTAGGTGGCCTAGGCCATATCTGTCACTTAAATTTCAGCCACATATCATATGCTAGTCAGAGGAATGGGACCTGTAATAGAAGCCTTTGTATCAGATTCATGTCAACAGAGGATTCCCAACAAATCTGTGCAATTTTCCCTTGGGCAGAGTCTACCTTGAAATTCTTCCAGCAGTCCAGTGCAAAGTAGTTGCAGCAAATGAGAGGATCAGTCTGCATATTTCTGGAAACTTTGAGGAAATACTACATCGATGACTTCACACTGAAAGCTGCTTTCCAGAATAAACTCTTTTTCTTAACTTTTGTTGAAATTTGGTGATAACATAGGGTTTAAGTGCAAGATTTCATACCACTGTAAATGCTTTGTGGTCTTTGGAATGTAGTCGGGACAGGGTCAGAATAAGAAAAGATGTAGATAAGCATTGTTTACGTGACAGTGTTACATTCTTCTTTGCTCTGAGTCTTCTGCACAGGCAGTGCAGTGAGAGGTGATGCCTCAGGTTGCAAAAGACATTTCAGTAGCCTAAAACCCCAGAAGGTGCATGAGAATAAAATGCTGCACAAGAGGCCTCCCTTGTAGCCTTGCCTCTTGCAATTAGGTATCTATTTCTCCTAAGTATTTCTGTCCGTGTTCCTACAGCTTAGCTAAATGACCTAGTTTATGAATAATCTTAGTAACAGGATCTTGTCCACTTTCTGTGACAATGCCCTAAGTTCAGAAAAAACTTAATCTTCATATAGGGACTTTAAGTAAGTCTATGAGGGGAAATGGAGCATCCCAAATCATCCTGTTTGACTCGTTACTCTTTCCAGAGGTCCCTTCAGTGGGCTTATATCCAGTCATCTTGGGGATTCTTTCTGTAGTTCTAGAAATAGCACAGGTAGCTTTAGCTCAGATCTGCAGTCACCCGACGGTATTTATGTATCCATACTATTCTTGCTCTCTCCTGTGTGTAAACAACTACCATAAATGCAGCCTCATCCAGTGCTATACGTGAATGCCAGAGGCGTTTTAACCCAGTGCATTAGAGGGCTGATTTTTTGCATACCGCTCAGTTCTCTCTGTGGAATTCAAGCATGTTGAATTTACTCTCAAGCAGATTATGCATACATTAAAACATTCATCTCTTCACTACTTCTGAGGATGACCCAAGTATAAATTACCATAATTTCTGTGCTCTTCAGATTCATTTTCACACACTTAACTCATTGCTCTCCAAGAATCTATTTAATATCACTTTTTTCTTTGCTGACAGTTATTGCTGTTTCTAATTATTTTCCTAGATGTATCAGCCTTAATTTGTCTTACTTGAATCTTATTCCCTTTCATGCTTGTATTTCTGACTTCTCGATGCCCACTGTTTAAATCTCTGTCCTCTTCACTATTCACAACTTCTAATTTAGTATCATCTGCAAATTCAATTGATTATACAATTTCATGTATAGAATGACACTACTTTCAACATTTTTCTTGTGTGGGACTACAGAAATTTATTTTGTTGGTATATCTATTCCATTTTTGTTAACAATAGGGAAGAATCAGACAAGCATTTTCAAGAGAGTAAAATGTGAAACATTGATTCCCACTGTTTCCAATTTAGCCATCTTGCTTTATATTAAATCTAACTGGGACGCTTCAGGGTAATTTTCAATAGATCTATATTTTACTACCAACTACCAACACAACTATTTCTTAAAGAAAAAATAAAAGGTGAATGATCTGGAATGCTCGTGGGAAAGAGCTCCCTGGAGATGTTTGTGTGTTTTCTATACAGTTTTAACACATATATACAACTTGAATTAATATTACCTGATTCAGCCTGGTGTATAGGTAGTTATTATTTCCCTGTTTGGAAATCAGAAAGGAATTGGAGTTAGAGTGCTAGGAACTTTTGCTCTCCATCTTATATTTAGAACTGGGAGATCTAGACAACTTAGTGGAAAACAGTTAAGATGTGCGTGTCAGTCAGCTTTGGTCTAATATCTGTACCCCCTTGTATTGAAAAAAACACATGAAAAAACCCACCAAAAACTCGAGTGACCTGGCATTGTGATTTGCTAGTTTAAAACTCCAGCTTTGGGAGCACTGAGAAGTATTGTACTTCCTGAGAAGTGACTGCCAATTTTATAGTATCAAAAATGTATACAATAAAAAAAATTAATTTCTCATTGAATTTAGGTTTTGAAAAAATGAAAGTTGATGCAAACACTGTTGGCTGTAATTCCCTGAAATCATAGCTCTCAAAAGTTTGAAGAGAGTTAACAGTAGCATAATATATGTCTCTCATTACTCTTCCAACTCCTTTAATCTCTGACTCTGTCTTTGCCTTCCAGTGTTTCATTGACATTACTTGCTATTCTATACTCTTTCACTCTTGTATCAGGTGCTGCGGGGAGACTGTGTGTGTGTGTATGAAGATACAGTGGTGTTTGTTATGAATATCAACTCAACATAGTCTTTCTCCATAATTAGCCAAAAGAAATATTCTTCCTAGACTTGGACTCGGACCAAGAGTCAGGTTGGACTCTGACTCTTCCCTCTGGCAATGCCTCTTTTGGCTCTGACTGTACAGGAAGCTGGTAACAGTTACTCCCACTATACTGAAGCAAGGCTTTGTGAGTACCTGCTCCCCTCACACTGCTCCTGTATGTGTAACACATCTGGCATCTCTGTTTCCCACCTCCCAGTCTTTTTTGTTTTGTGTGCTCATGGTATGGTGATACATACCTAGTATTGGGTAAAGTGATCAAGCAGAAATTGTACACTGATAAATTTCACTGTCTGGCTTTAAACAGTCAGGTAGACCAGCTCAGTGTGAAAAAAAGCACATAGGCAGGACTCTTGTACCTCTGAAATGTGTCCTTTTTGGAGCAGATGTGAAGAGAGCAGAAGGCTGCTTTGCTTCTGTACCCCTCCCCACTCTTCCTGTCTTCCATTTGCTGACTGTTTACACAGACCTCTTCTCTGCATGTCATCTATATATTATTGGCAAAAGTTTGTCTTCGTAAATTGTGTTCTGCAATCAAGTGTCAATTTTTATAGCCCATTCAAATGTTAGAATACAAACTTAATTAACATTTTACAGCTGGTAATAAATGTTCTGGAGTCAGGGAAAAAGTCTAGCATAGCCACATCCCCTTTTAATTCTTTCCCTGCTTCTCAAACATTTAATTAGCAACTTAAAAATGTTACTAAAATTTGCACTGCTTCAACCTCCTCTGCGTGATCATTCGGCGTTTGTGTAGGCTAAATTTGAAATTGCAACCAAAGGAAACTGATAATGTGTTGCATGCCTTTTTCTCCTACTTTGTGTGGGGTTAAGTGACTTCAGATGGTGTAAGACAATGGAGAATCTGGTTTTAAGTGTGCAATGCCAAAGCCTGGGGTGAGATTCTGCTTCATTGAAGTGACTGGGAATTTTGCAATTGATTTCACAGGAGCAAGAATTTCAGCCTAGATTCTTCAAGCTAGGACACCGGCCCAGATTTGGACTAGGCAAGCTTCAAGAAACATAGAAAGGACATCTTTCCTCAGAGTCTAGCACTAAATGCATCTCATCCAGAACTGAAATCACATGCTCAGTTACATTTTTTATTATATTCCCTTCACATTGAGGGAACTAATACATGCAGTTTAGAAAAGTAACAAGACTATTAAATGTTGCTAAGAGACGCCTACATAAAGAATTGTAATTTGAGCTTCGCAAATTGCAAAATTGCCAACTGGCTTAGATCCACTGGGCCCAAATTGCTTACATTAAAGTGTATAATGGTGACTGAATGAGTGATTTCACTAATAAATTTCAGGTAAACTGTTGTCTATCTGAGGCAAATAGACATGAAGTTACAAAACATAACATAATTTTGGACATTTTTATATTCTAGGAAGAGATACTGCAAGTAGTTGGGTGTCTGTGTAACCAACACCTTTTAAAAGAACTTACACAGAGAAGATAGTCCTATACTTAAAATAATTTATAGA